GAGCCTGTACATCCCCTTCCCGCGCCAATGAAGTCACCCAGCGTCATTCTGCCAGGCTGGACGCCTGAGAAGGCTGAGCATCTGTTTTAGCAGACTCCGCCGTCCTTGGCTCTCCCCGCAATCTTGATCTTTGCGCAGCTTCGACCATCGCAGGGTCGGCGACAATTTTCAGAAGCAAAGCACTCCCGAGTCGCTCGCACCTGCAGACGTCTGGGTATTTGGACGATCGCGGAACCAAATGCAGGCACGCACCTCCCCGATGCAAGCAGATTCGTGAATTGAGACTCCGGACGCGTGGCGTCTGGCTGGCTTGCAGAGTGGGAAACGTGCTGCAGCTGTTCCGCTGCAATACACCCGTCGAGGGCTCGCTAATGCACGTGCACCGCACCTTTCTAGTCGTCTGACTGAGTGCGTAGCACGACAAGTACCGAAGGTTCTGCGAGCTCCTTGGACAGCATGCGAAGTCGTACGTCCACACTGCTGCTGCGCATTCAAACTGGGCCATGCGCTGACTGATCCAACAGCAGCGAGCGCTCTAAACCGTGCAGTGCGCAAGTGGCTTGCAAAGTGGGGCCTAGTGACGCTACGTACGTGATTGCGGCTTCTGATGGGTGAAGCGATCTCAATGTGTTCTGCAGGGCACACACGATCGATTCAGAAGAGCCACGAGAGGATACCAAGGCGAGGTCTAGAATTTCGGTGACTAATTGCCGTTGACGCCGAGCGGGAAGTAGCGGGAAGAGGGCCGACGTTTCCCCTCCTTCCTCAGACAGCAATCTCATGCGGGAGACTCGGCACAGATGAGTAGGTGGCTTGCTTTGCTACCGCCGCGCTTGATCCACGCTTCAGCCAGCTTCCTTCCCGCCTGCGTAGGCTGGCTAAAAGCCGTCGTTCCCGCTCTTCCACCGCACATTCGTTCGATCGAAGCGGTGCTCATGCCATACACTGCGCCAGCCAGCGCCGCGTCGAGCAGAGCGACGCCCAGTCCTGCTCGTCTGGCAGGATGGAGGACGTGGATGCGATGCACTGCCAAGGGTGGAGAGCGCGCTTCGGCTGGATCGTCACTGGATCGGGACGAAGTGCATAAAGATCAGC